TTGTGCTAAAGGATTTAGTACTCTCTTTCTCCTTCCCCTTCCACCTTCCAAGAGGATTATCTATTAATCCAAATGCTGACAGTCATTCATTTCCATTACAAAAATAGCCCTACTCTATAACAGGATCCTCGCTGCAACTAGATGAGCATTTTAAATCGAGCCTGAGAAGAAAATGATTCTCAGCACTCTCTAGATTCCATGTTTATTGTATAAGTCTTTGCTGTGTTTTATGTTAACGGAATTTAGCGTAAAAAGCCATGGACATCAAATTGAGATGACCAAAAATAAGCACAATAAATACAGAGCATCTCATCTTATTCATTTCTTCATTCAGTGAGTACTAGGCAGAAAGCACAGAACCGTGTGCTTCCTGAACACACATAAGGATCAATCTTGGCAGAAGATATCCGATGCATAAATAATGATAATATGAGGTCAGATGTGATATGCAGCATAAGAAAAAGTACAGAATGCTGTAGAATTTACGAAGGAGTTATTACTTCTGGTTGGTGTAATCCTGTGGCTTGATGAAGCTGGGGATATCTGTGCTGCAGATCCATTCAGGAGATATTTCGGGTGGGAGAGATTTTATAAAGCCGGGGCCCTGGGGAGACGTGAGGTGCAGCAAAAGCTGTGTGCGAGGAATCAGCCAGAGTTAAGGCTGGAGTGAGCTGAGGTCTGAACGCCCTGTGGAGTAGCAAACAGTGCACACAGCAGAATGAAGGGAGGCTTTGAACGAGAACTGGGATGATCTGAGAGCAGGTTTTAAGGTGATTAATCTTGGCAGTGGTAGCGAAGCCAGATTAGACAGAAAAGAGATTGGAAACCGTTTAGGAGGCTATTGAAATCGTCTGGGGCAGCAGTAGTGGGAGTCTGAAATAAAGGTGGATGCCATGGGATAGAGAATGAAAGAATGGATTCAAGAGGTCTTAGCAAAGGACTCTCAAGTCACTCAATTTTTCCAGAAGCAAGAAAATGTGGAGCAGGGTTGTTTTTCCACTGCTAACTCATATTTGCTATTTTTAAAGAAAGATAAAATTTCATTGCATAATTTAAGAATGATAAATTCGTACTTTGTGCTAAAGGATTTAGTACTGAATTGTTTCCTGGGTGCTTTTGAATTTACGAATTCTACTATGCGATTTTTAAAAATTTTTCCCAGTTTTCAACTAAGAGTTTTAATTGAAGAAGTAATACGTGCACAAGGCAAAATCCCAAACAGTGCACAGTGATAGACGAAACAAAATCTCCGCTCTCATCTAGGGGCCTCTGTTCTGTATTCTAGAGGCAACCATTGCTATCATTTTCTAAGACATTATTCAAAAATGTTCAATGCATTTGAAAGCTTAAATGCATACCTATATTCTCCCCCTCCATCCTTTGAACCAATACACTCCCATTCTGCCCGTTGACTTTCTTTTCCCTCTCTGCCTCCACAATGCTTTCTCTAGTATGGGGTTTCTTGGTTCATCACTATTGACATTTGGGGCTGGATTATTCTTCGTTGTGGGGTGTGTCCTGTGCAGTGTAGGTCACAGGAATGTAGAAGCATCCCCAGCCTTTACCGGATAGGTGCCAGGAGCCCTCCGCAGTTGTGACAACCCAAAAGGTCTCCAACTATTGCCAAATGTTCCCTGGAGAACACAATTGTCCTGGTATGTCCTGAACACACTGCTCCAATAAAACATTTCTATCCTGCTTCTTTTTATTAAATCCAACTGTTTATGTCTTTCTCCCCCCAAGTCTGTATCCTTCTTTAGAGCAGGTATGATATCTTAGTCATTTCTTCATTTTTATGACCTAGTCCTGTGCTCACACCAACTGACTCATGAAGAGTTATTAAATGAAAGGAAGAGACAGGGCATTGAATGTAATTAATGTATATCTGAGACACCATGAAATTATCCCCATGAAATTCATTAAGGTAGAAAGTAATAATCAAATACATGCTAATAATTTTCCTGGGTACTTGTAGGGGTTACTAAGCATCACAGACACTTTAATCAGTGGGGTTTTCACATCATTTGGAGAGGCAAAAACCTAGACATGTGAAAAGGACACCAACCATGTGGGGCAGAGCATACGGTGCCCAAATGAATGATGCAGGGAATAAATACTTTCAAATCTAGCGAAAGCAGAGAGGCAAGTTTTATTGTTGTGTCACTGGTTTTTGAATGAATGATTCATAAATTAATGTGTATGTGCGTGTGTGTGTGTGAGAGAGAGAGAGAGAGAGAGAGCGACTGAGAGAGCAAGGGAGAAAGAGAGAGGGAGGGAGGGAGGGAGAGGGAGAAAAAGGAAGTATTGTTTGGGGTGGGCTGACATGCCAAGACTACCAAGGTCTTGGCAAAACTAGGGAGTTAAGAATGAAAGAGTTCCCACTGAAAGCTTGAGAAGCTGACTTTAGACCTTTCGTCAAGTTATCCTGAAGACTTGAATTGGGTGGTGGTTGAGGATGGCCAATCCTGGATTTCTTACTGATGTTTTAAGGAGTTCGATGTTTCAAGAAATGTAATGTAGAAGGTGGCTATGAAGAAACCTCTTGTCTCCTTCCCTCCCTCGTTTTGCTCCCTCAGTGGACATTGACTGTGTTCCAACTAGGTGTCAGCCAGGTGCCAGGCCCTAGGAAGGCAGCTGTAACCACTCTGAGAAGGATTCAATTCTGACTGAGGTCTGGTCGAACAAACAGAGCCTTCACACATGGACTATGTGAACTCTGAAAGATCCGAGTGGTATTTCAAATTTCCAAACCGTCTGCATTCATAATACATATTTATTCTCTATTGTCTCTGGACATACTAAAGGCAATTAAATATTACGTCATAAACCTCCCACATATGTCAAAAATTTTAAGCTACACTGACCACAATAATTGATTTACCACCGCGGCACGACTCCCTCAGGACTGAGAAGCTGCAGATACTATGCAGGGGAAATAACTGCCTAGATGTTTGGGTGAGACAGTGAGGAATCTCTAATAAAACAGAAAATAGAGCCACGGTAAGAAAGTGGAATTTGGCCAGTATGGTAGACAGATTCTCTCAATTCCTGAGGAAGGGAACATAAGAACTTTAAATTACACTATGCTTGAGCCATGAATATATTTCTGACTCAAGCACAAAAGTACCCATTAGCTTTTGAATATCCACCAGTCCTACCTCCTTGACAACCCCACTGAAAAGTTCAGAGCCCTAGGAGCTTGGATGTGAGCCCTGAAAACCTTTACTAGGGCAAAATTTGCATTTCTCTAGTGGACAGGAACATTTATGTAGTAGACAGAAAAATTCTACTAGTGTTTTGAGATGTCAGTTCTCTAATTAAGGGGTAAAAGTTGTGGTATCAAATACATGAACATCATCTCATTGCTGAGTTCTGCTTGGAAAACAATCTGTTCAATTCTAAATCTGGGAGCGCAAGGCATTTTTTGATTATAAACTCCTTGAGAATTTCCTGAAAGCTATGAACCTATCTCCACTCTCTTTTTTCTTTCGTGTGTGTGTGTGTGCATGCGAAGGCGTGCACACACACACACATGTACGTGAGTGCACACCTATATGCAATTTCCGGGGTAGAGCGCCCACTTCACTGAACTCAATCCATGGGTCCTCATATTCCAGGTTTAGAAGCTATTATTCAGTCGGCTTGATTTTCTATAGGCTCTTACTTCAGGAGAGGAAAACTAAATTCTCTCCCGTAGCATATGAACTGCTAAAGAAACTTCTATGCCTCAGCTCTCTCTGGTTGGAGAGTTGGGTCCAATAAATTGCATATACAGAGGACTTAAACACTGAGTTCTTTTTTATCTTGATCCCATCAGAAAATAGATTCTTATATTTTCCATATTCTATAGAAATGATAGAACATCATTATATAAGCTAAGGCTTAAACTCACAGGTACCTTATTTCAATGATAAATGTCTTGGGGTTAGATGCTTAAAATATTTCCGAAAGGATTTTACATGTTCTAAGTACTTAATGTTGGTAATATGTTAATGATTTTTACCCTGAACAAATTAGGGCATCTGAATCCAATAATTCAACTAGGTCCCCCCGCTCCAGGATTTTAAAAATAAATTACTCAACACCCAATATGCCAGGTATATTTTGAAGTTACTTCTTCAAAACCGCTCTTTTCTTATTGAAGACTTGAGATAATCTTTATATCATCTCACTAGATATTCTTTTAAAAAATGGTTCTCACAACAGGCATGCATTTATCCTCTCTTCCTTCTTTCTTTCCCATATAATTTACTGTAACTGGACATATTGAAGTATTAAATCAACATGTTTATTGATTATCTACAAGGCATTGTGTCAGATAGGATGGGGAATCTAAAGCTGTGTAAGACAGGTCTTCTGGAGAGTATCTACTGTTGAAGATAAGACATGGACCAGAATAATATAAACTTGCTGTTCTCACTGTTATTTATAGCTTTGTGTATAGAAGGTAAATCTATTTGTTATATTTATCTGGCAAATGATAACTTTATTTTACCTCAGAACTCCATAGCAGATAGAGGGTTCGACATCATCACTTTTTTTTAATTTTAATTTATTTATTTTCTTAAAAGGAGCTAGAAGTTTAGTGACTGTTCCATAAGGGGGCAGCAGGAAGGACAGCAGAGGGGAGGCTGCTTGCCAGGAGGCAGTGGGCAGGGGCTGCTTCTGAAGGAGGAAGGGGAGGAGGTATGACGATGTAATGGAATTTTCCCTTTTTTGGTAACTGTGCCTGGTTGCAAGTAGCCCATTGGTTAGGTAGGGCCTATGAATACTTTGAGGTGGGCCACCTGATGTGCCTGTCTACATTCAGCCAGGTGGTCACTGTGGGCCCTTTTGCCTTGATCAAGTTTTTATTGGTCAAGCCTGTTGCCTGAAAGCGGCCTCTACATCCCCCCCCCCCGCCGCCGCACAATTTCAACCCTTAAATCTTTAAGGTGCTTGAGAACATCGTCATTTTTAAAATCTTTCATGAAATAATAACATTTTTTAAAAATCGATGTTTATTTCCTACCAGACAAAGCTGTCAAATTTGCATTCTTGATGAAAACTTCAGTTATTCCAAGAGCCTTCAAAACATCTTTTAAGTCAATTTCCTGTTCCACTGTGAACCTGGAGAACACAGAGGGGGAAAAGCATTTAGTTACGGCATTTTAAAAGTTTTTAGTTATAGCATCCTGTTACCTGGGACAAGAATAAAATGTTGGCTATGTTGATTTTAATGGTAAATTATACTAAAACTGGCTTTTGACTGCAAGTGGTATTCGATTGTGCTTATAAAAAGAGGAGACAGCAAAAAGAATAATGTATCAGAATAATATTAAATTATTAAGTAGGAACACTATTTGATGTGGACGCAAAACTGTAATATATAGGGTGAAATAAGTGTTTTGAGGTCAAGGATGTCAAACCTGTAAATGGGTTGCCTTCAAAATCGTGTGACCTGGTAATAGATTTGATTTTTTAAGCTGTCAATGTCTTATCAAACATTTATCCAAGGCATTTCATTCTTTTCTTAGTGTCCTTACTCAGCTCCCTGTGGAAAGGGAGAGCCAATGCTGTATCCAATTGCTGTATAATGGATACATCTTACATTTCAACTCCATACACTCAGAGAAAGGAAACATAAAAGCTATTGTGTTAATAATATATATCTTCCTGGTTATTTTAACCTCCAGGACCAAAGCCTGTTTCCTTGGTACCATCACAGAAAAGATGTTCATCAACAAAAGTGAATTAAGGATTACATCTTAAAAACTGTACACTTTTACAATTATATTAGAGATTTTTTTAAGCAAAAGAATAACAAATTTGTATTTTTTGTTCTAATGGGCTTTATGAATTATACATAAATGTGCATCACATTTGCAAGAAGAAATAAAACATTACTTAAAACTGAAATGAAAATAAGTACAGTGGTCATGAGCAGAATATTAATTAAAAAAAAATGGTTTCCACAGAGAGCCTCATTGGTCCTAATATAGAGTCTTTCCCAAACCAGTGAATTGTATCTCCCATCTTTCTAGTGAAAAATACAGAGTAAACATGGCTGCATTAACACACAAATGCAGTTTTTTTAAAGCAAAGATTATTACTTTTTTATAAAAAGTGAGAACAACTAGAAGTAAATGTTTCCTTTTTTTTCTAAGATGTTGCTTCTTGATCAATAAAGATCATAAATGTAAGTTTTTAGGCAATGGGCTATATCCTTAAAAAAGCTAAGTTTGTGACAGTCACAAAACATTCCATTAGCATCATTTCTGATGTCTGGTTTTAAGAACAACAAGGGAATGGTTGCTATAAACAAGACTCAGACATCAAGAGGAATAGTCAGGGGAAAATAGTTTTAGCAGGTTCATGTTTATGGAAAATATGACAAATAGAGAAATAAATGTATAGCAAACATATTAAACCAAGTCCTGAATTTTATCTATATCCTACATTTTTACTTGGACTTAGCACAGTCTCTTTTGTTTTCTACAAAAAGCAGATGTCGGTTGTGGAAGTAGAAAAGGGGGATGAGTAGGGAGGTATGGAATGTCTCAAAGAATACATTCAATGGCTTGATTAAGGTGTTTTGTGTGTGTGCTTTACATTTATTATTGATTGATTGATTGATTGACTGACCTACCAAAACCTATTCTAAGACTATAACAGATTAATTTAAATATCCCTAAAATCCTTGGAGGTCAGTATTATTATTATCCTCAGTTAATAGAAGAAGAAACCAAGGAAGAGAAAGATGAGATAACTTGACCAAGGTCATGTGGCTAATAAATGGCAGAGTAGGGGCATGGATCCAGGTCGTATTCTGTATGTCCTGATCCACCTAAAATAGGAAAGTGAAGGGAGAGATCAGTAGAGGATTCTTTGTATTTCTTAGGAGCAACCTGGTTTGTTTCACACTTCTGAGGTTTGCTGTTTCAGGTGAGGATGGTAATTTAGCCAGATTGAATTTGGGCAAGTTCCGGATTTGGCATGTAGAACATGACATTAATAATACCTGCCTCATGGTATTGTTGAGGGGATTAAATAAGGTTTCTAGAAGTCTTTTTTTTTTTTAAAGATTTTAATTATTTATTTGACACAGAGAGAGAGAGAGTGACAGGAAAGGGAGGAACAGGCTGGAAACAGGCTCCCTGCTGAGCAGAGAGCCCGATGTGGGGCTTGATCCCAGGACCCTGGGATCATGACCTGAGCAAAAGGCAGACGCTTAACCCACCGAACCACCCAGGCACCCCCCTAGAAGTCTTTAAAAAAAAAAAAAAGATTTTATTTTTAAGTGATCTCTACATCCAACATGGGGCTCAAACTCACAACCACGAGATCAAGAGTTGCAAGCTCCATCAACTGAGCCATCCAGGTGCCCCAAAGGTTCCTAGAAGTCTTAGGATGATGCCACTATGTAGGAGGCATGTAATAAAGGGCAGATTGTATTGATAACACTCACAATATTGCAGTTATGTATAACATTCACGTTATTATAGATGTTAAGGTGTTTTATATTTGCATTTTAGTAGTGGTGGAGTAATTTGATTAAATAGCTGTTTCATCTCTGCTGCTTTAGCTGTAAATTAGTCAAATACAGTATCTTTTTTTATTTCAATATCTGTAGTATCTGGCATAGGACAATACACATAGGTTGAAGGGAAAAAATCTAGGTGACCAAAAAAAAAAAAGAGAGTGTTTGTTCAAAGTTGAAGATAGGATGTGAACAATTTCCACTTATCCATTTCCCGTCTTTGTTTCCTTATCAAATTATGGGAAATAGCTATTATCCATTTACTCTTTCCTCTTAATATAGACTAATATGCATATAAATAATCATTATCGTCTCCCACACCTGAGGGCTCACTATATCCCAGACACTATGCAAATCCTTTTACATATGGTATCTCATTTAATCATCCCTATGATAATGTCACAGAGTCCTGTGAGATTATGTATTGTTATCTCTATTCTACAGAAGAACAAACTGAAGTTCAGACAAGCTAAGCAACTTGCCCTAGTCACACAGCTAGTGTGAGGATATGAGCTGAGGTCTGTCTGACCGCAAAGTGCCCCACCCCTAATAACTACAATTCTAACAATGGCTATTTAAAAACAATCAAACTATAGGTAGATTTTACATTTTGCCCACTGAATTTAAAAATAAAAAGCCACAACACTGCTTTTTTAAACCCAAAAGGCAAGCCTATTTTAACAATGTAATCATACATTTGCAACTTTCTGAGTAAGTTGAAGAGGTATGTTGAGGGCAGAAGCATGAGAGACTCAGGTGTGGAGAGCAAGTGTTAGAAAAGTATAAATATATTTTACATATAAGGAGATTTATTCACCTTGTAAGCAATTAAGAAACTAATCAAGACACCTTCTGTAGAAAAACCTAATAAAAAGCACTCATGTTAAAGAACAAAATCAGATGGCTTATGTATTAGTTTTCTTTTATAAACATGAAACTAAAGTGCTTTATTTCTAAGACAATCATTTCAAAATAACAGGATGGTCTCTGCTTACAAAATAGAAAACCACTCTATATCTGTTGATTTCCAGCACTCTGATCACAAATGACAAATCTGAGACTACAAACGTCAGAGTGGAAAGATACGGCAGCCAGGTACCTCTGCATTCCAAATATTAAGATATTTGATTTTCATTTTAAAACAATCTTCTTGCACCTTATACAATGAAGAGGGTAATGTTCATCAGAACGAGGTTTTTAAAAAATCTTACTGGAAGAAAAGTATATATAAAGCTACCCATAGGGGGCGCCTGGGTGGCTCAGTCGTTAAGCGTCTGCCTTCGGCTCAGGTCATGATCCCAGGGTCCTGGAATCGAGTCCCACATAGGGCTCCCTGCTCGGCAGGAAGCCTGCTTCTCCCTCTCCCACTCCCCCTGCTTGTGTTCCTGCTCTCACTATCTTTCTGTCAAATAAATAAATAAAATCTTAAAAAAAAAAAAAAGCTACCCATAGATTAACATAAGGTGAATACTAGGACTTAAAATGTACACTGAAAATAAATAATAATAGTGATAATAGGTAATAACTATATGATGCTTACTCTGTGCTAGGCATTATTCTAAAGTGCTTTTTAGATATCTTACGTATATTTTTTATCTATATTAGCCAAACTGTTTTTGCTACCATGAATAAATTGGAAGAATATCTGGTAATCTCATTTAAATCTTAGAAATGTATGACTGTGCATTAACCTTTTAGTATTTCACTGGATTTATGGTATCACATAGGTATAGCAATTTTACCCTCTCCTGAATAGAGTTTTGTATTTTGGATAAAAATACAATTTCAATTTAGCATCTGATTCCTGTAGGACTTATTGTTCAGGGGGAAAACTAATAAAAATGCAAAAGTAGTTGTCCCTTCTCCCCCCCTCAACATACCCTATACCTTTTAAGAAAGGCATTTAAAACCTATATGCATAAAATCTAATATAATAGAAAGTAAAAGTACCTGTGGAGCAGGACAAGAATGTGGTCAAATTACAGAAATGCAAAGTTGCTGTTTCAGAGTAATATCTCCATGCGAATAAATCTATACAAACATTTTAAGACAGACACTTGAGTAAACCTAGGAAATGGCTATTAAAACATTTTTACCCTTGCTAAAATGAGGTCACAAACATCATTACCGTCATTGGACATTTAGGGGATCCTAATACTGTAAAATGGAAGGGGTAGATCATTTCCTATTGATCATTATCTACACATAAGTATTTGAAAACAGTCAATTTCTTAAAAAGGGAAACCAGATTTGTGGTATCTAGCTATTTAGTCTTGCTCTCTATGCATTAACCAGGCAGAAGGAGAGTTCATAGAACTTCTGGAGAAATGGATACATGGTAATTAACTGTGCCTAATTTAGTATCAGGCATTAATATGAGCAAGCAAGCTAAACTATTTCATAATTGAAGAGGATCTCTTAGAAAATGAAAATTTAATTTTCTTCTGCTGCCACATTCAATTTCTCAGTGGACAGGACCTGGAGGCCACATTTTTAGTGAATATGGTTGAATTAGAATATGTGATACTTATTAAGCATTCATTTAGGATTCTGTTAAAATACCCCTAAATAACTTTGCATCCTCACAGAATTGAAGCATTTGGACATGCTGCACTTAATTTATGGAATTTAATAAGGGAAGCATTAACACTGTACTGAATTTCTCATTTTATCAAAAAGAATTTCTTTAAAAATATACAGAGAAGTACACAATATCAATATCAGGCAAAGAAACATGAGAAGAGTATTTTAGGCCAAGGCAAAAACATGCATAGAGACCCAGAGGCAGGCAAAACCATGCGACTTGCATGTAGCATAGCAACAAGCACATGGATAGAACATGCTACAAAGTGTTTGTTGTGGTGAGTGGCCAGACGCAGGGTTGAGAAGAACATCAAGGCCCTGCATAGATTTTATTATTTAATCCACAGGGAGAATTGTAAGCTTTTTCCTGCTTATTTATGGTTGCATCTTGGCACCGAGCACAGTAACTTGTTTGTGCTTCTTCCAACAATGTGGGAGATTATTTTCTCTCCAGCTATAATCAACTTTAAATATTAATGAAATACAGAAGACTGCCAAAGCAAATGATATTCAGAGACGATCTATTGAGAAATCTTCTAAAATGAAGCTAAGAATATTGAGTAGGATCTGAAACTAAGTCTTGGTAAATAGTACTGAGTGAATCGATAAGTGAGCTTGTGTCTCTGGGCAGGACGTCATGAGTACAAAGACTACTTTAAAAAAGGAGAAGGGAGAGAAGGAGAGGAGGGAAGGGGAGGAAACAGGAAGGGGAGTAGGGGGAAGAGAGTAGCTAAGACTTAAAATTCAAAGGCAGTGGCCAGAGTTTTCCTGAGTCGGAAACTACATTGAAATCTCTCCCTCCGTGCTATCAGAAGGAGTCCCACAGGAGCCTCTTACCTGGGCAGGTACACTTCCACTTTTTGTTTCTTCACAGAGTTTGCCCATTCTTCAATCAGCTGTGCTTTGACCAATGGCTCCAGAGTGGCCAGTGGAACTTCCTGTCTGGACAATGCCAGCATCATGCTTATCTCCTCTCCCTCATAGGGTATTTCTAGGACTTGGTAGATACCACCAGCTTCATTGGAGCCATCACTAAATTCTCCTAAAACAAAAAGAAAGGTGATAAAAGGCCCATATTCAAGCTCAAATAAAAGGTTTAATTTGTTATAACTCTCTTCCAAAATAGTATATAGAATATAAGAAATTCAGGCATCTGAGAAAAAAGGTGTTTTTTTTGTTTTTTTTTTAAAAGGTCCTGAAATCAAGTGAATCTTCAGTCCTAAAGAATTTATTTTATTTTAGAATCCCCATAATTATATCACAATTGTTATAATATGTTCTATAGACTTACTTTTTATTTTTAAATGAGATACTTCAAATGAATATATAGTTAAAGAATATCTTTAGAAACGATGGTAAGTCCTGGTTAGAAAAATAAAGCCCTAGATCCAAGTAGTTGTAATTCATATTTGCCAATACCCACTTGATTTCTTTTTTTTTTTTTTTCCCACCTGATTTCTAAGAAGGGGGAAATTGACTACGTAATACCTGGGACTTTATCATTACCACAGCTAAAAGTTTTGAGGCCAAGATAGCATAGTCAAAATGAAATCTATTACATTCTACAGTAGTTATCCACAGTAACTGTGGTGCTTAAGACCTCCAAATTAAGTAATGAGGTTAGTAAGGTAATGGGCTTTCTGTTCTAATAATTTAGCTAAATTCACCAGCCTTCCATAAAAAAAATAAAGAAGTCTTTAAAAAAAAGAGATCCTGCTGCTACCTCAAAATTACCCCATTTTCAAAAAGAAAATGTAATGCTTTTGTTATGAGTATTTTCCTATAACTGATTTAGGTCCTTTAGACCATTAAACATTTTGGTTCTCAAATATAGCGTGTAAGAATACAGTCCATTGTAGTGTGTAAGAAGGATTAACACTCTAAACTTCTGAAAAGTCCAATGAAATATCTTTGAAAATAATGCCAAGGATATTGAGTTGTATCACAAATCATAGACTTTCAATAAACAAAACTATGAATGAATAATTATGTCTAACCATACATACACAGTCTGAAAGCAAAATTTTATTTATTTATTTTTAAAGATTTTATTTATTTGAGATAGAGAGAGACAGAGAGAGAGGGAGAGAGAGCACAAGCAGAGGGAGCTACAGGCAGAGGGAGAAGCAGGCTCCCAGCTGAGCAAGGAGCCCAATGCAGGACTCAGTCCCAGGACCCTGGGATCATGACCTGAGCCGAAGGCAGACACTTAACTGACTGAGCCACCCAGGCATCCATGAAAGCAAAATTTTAAAGAAATGCTTGTAATTCAAAAAGTGGTAAGGAATCCAAGCAAGAGCAAAGTGGAACATATGGGTCACTGACAACCACCCCAAAGCCAATAGCTTTTTGGAGTAACTCAGAATGTTTTTATACAAGGTCAGGTGTTTACCCATGAATAAAGCCATTCTGCAGGTGTAATCAACTTTATAATTTAAAGAAGTATATTAGAAAACTGTCAATGCATATAATATTCACTTAAGATCTAATTAGAGGCCTTTGAAAATGGAGCCAAGGAAATTGAATTGTAGCCCAAACAAGATTGACAAGATATTTGAGTAATAAATGCTTCATGTTCTTTCTTAAAAATTTATTATACTGTAAGAAGAGAGAAATAAAAGCCAGAATGTCTTACCATAATAGAATTCCCCTTGTTGATACATCATTGGAATTTGGACTTCACTTTCATCATCTTTAGTGAAGGAAAAGGTTCTAGTATTTTCAGGTCTAAATTGTGACTTCCAGTTCCCCTTGAAATAGATAGCATTGATGAGGGCCAAATGAGTGCCAGCATCAAAATCCCTTGGGGATACCAAATCCTTCAACAGACCTATTCAGGAAAAAATGAATAGATGAAAATTTATATTAAATTTGAAGGTGAATGGGGACCAAAAGATCCAGAAAAACTGTATACCACTACCAAATTTACAATAAAAATTAAAAGTATCTTGCTTTCAAAGGAAAAATGTTACACACACACACACACACACACACAATTACAGATTAAGGGGATCTAAAACACACCTACCTGCAATAACACTGGTAGGATCTTGACACTTGCAGAAACTATAGAACCAAGTACAACAGAATCTCAGGCTTTACTACTTTCTAGTTGTAATGATGTATACACATCTCTTAACACAGAGTAAGCATTCAATAATGATTACCGAGTTTATTCTTGAACAATGTACATGATTAAAATGTCAGCCAGTTCAAAAATTTCCCCCATATACATTGGATATCTTTCCACTAAATATAACAACTGCATTCGACTAGGTGAAAACAGATGAGTGAAAGCCAATTGAATTAGTGATGCCTTATTATCGATCATTTGAAATATTCCTTTACAAATCTATTGTCAAAGATACTGGCTCTTTGTTGATAGCTAAAAATGTGTAAAAAGATTTTCGAAATAGCTTGTAATCATTCAATCTATTCAAAGTGGATTATTATTCTTGACTTATTCTTTGAATGTTAAAATACAAACATAAGTTTATTTTATCCTATGTTTTAATGTCATAGTTGAAAAAGATAGGACCAAAATTTGTATTCTCTCATTTTATTAATGATAGCACTTCTTTAGGTGCTTACAAAGGTGCCTCGGAATTTTTGGGATTATAGGACATAGGGTATGTGGTCAGGTTTTTTTGTTATTGTTCCAAAATAAAATATATTAGATTGACATTATTTGAGGAGTTTTGACAATATGAATTAATTTAATGAACTTCTGCAATCTACTTTCAATTTGGCTTCATTTTTTAAATTCTAATTTCAATACTTTGATGGTAAAGTTAGAAAATAAAATGGTAAAATATGAAACATTTGGAAAGCTTAAATACATTTTTAAAGACTAGATTAGAAACAAATTTTATTTATTTTTTAAAGATTTTATTTTTTTATTTTTTTACACCCAATGTGGGGCTCAAACTCATTACCCCGAGATCAAGCATCACATGCTCCACCAACCAAGCCAGTCAAGTTTAGAAATAAGTTTTAAAATAAATGTTCAGATTAGAAATAAATTTTAAATTAGATTAGAAATAAATTTTAAAATAAATGTATCTCTTTCTCATTCTCCACTTATTTGGACTTAAAATGGGCTGCTCTTTTTTTAAGAAATCCTATACAATTTTTTTGATTACCAATCAAGTTCTGTTGTTTAGAAGCCCAACTTTGAGGGTGCCTGCCTGGGTAGTTCAGATGGTTAAGATGGCTAAGTATCTGCCTTCAGCTCAGATCATGATCTCCAGGTCCTGGAATTGAGCCCTACATCAGGCTCCCTGCTCAGCGGGGAGTCTGTGTCTCGCTTTCCCTCTGCCACTCCCCCTACTTGTGCTCTCTCTGTTTCTCTCTGTCTCTCAAATGAATAAATAAAATCTTTAAAAAAAAATAAAAGCCCAACTCTGATTTTTAACTCTTTCTTACATTCTATTTTAAGTATATTTTTAAGAGGCCCACCAACTGCCATCCTAATTGGTATCTAACTTCTTAAACAAGTCAGCTCAAGCAAAATTCCATATAGTAGTTAAGATTACCATGCAGAGGAAAACCATGATTGGAGAGACAGATTTCAGACAGATTTATCATAGTGCCTAAATTCTTCACATGCCAAAAGATTTAAGTTCTTTCAAAAATGTTTATTCATAAGCAATGCCTCTAAAAAGACTGTAATCTATACAAAATAATTATTAGATACTCAACTAAATGCTAACATTCAAAAATTCAACTGGAGTGAAGAGAAAATAATTTCAGAAGTAGAAGAGAGTTAAAACTAAGCCACTAGAGAAAGAAAGGAACCAAATGACATACTATTTGTGTTATTCTCCACCCACTTATTGATATGGTTGGCCACAGCTATATTTTGACTGAAGTCCACATGATTTACTTCTGCTTTGAAGTATTTTTTCAGCATTTGCAAAAATTCCTCATTGACATGAAATCCATTTTGCACAAAGAGGGAATTGGCAATTTTCATCACATATTGGCTCTCTTTAGCAGTTACCATGTTAGAAAAATCCTTCAAGAAGGAAAATTCGTTACCTGCAAAATGACAAACAATAAGTTTATTAGTGGAACAAACACAGTGAATGATCATGGGGATTGGAAAAGCACTAAAAAACAGCAAGGAAGATTGATGAGACAGGGGCCAAAGGGAAGAGCACTAGTTTATTCCCCATATCGACATGACTAGGAGGTTCCAATATTTGTGCCATTTCTAGATCTTCAAATTAACTTTGAGTATTATGAACTGGTATTATTTTTCATTTTAATTGATGTCTTGGTAGAATCTATAGAGATTTTTTTGGTTGTCTCCTTTCAAAGTACTTAGGTTATTCTCATTAAATTGGTCTTCATTTTATAATTAATAGGAATAAGAATTAAGCTTAATTACCTAATTTAAAAATCAAAATATTCCTTGAAATTTTACTTTCACTGGACTTTTTTGCCTTATAACTAGAAACATGCCTTAGAAATCATCGAGTTCTTAACTTTTTAATGAGTCGATTCTCATGTATATTAAAAACATTAAAATAGAAATCATACATCATGTCAAAATGATTACAAAAACCTTTTGGCTAAAAACTTTCCCCAATACATAACATTTTCATAATAATAAAACATTTCAAAAAAATTCTTGGATGCTGCTTAAAAAATGAAGATACAATTGGTTTTAAGCAAAAATTTCTAATATGCCTAGAGAATCATGTTGCTTTTCTTCATAGCAGTTATCACAGTTGTAAATATTCATTTATGTGATAATTGATTGATACATGCCTCTCCCTCTAGACTGGAAACTCAGTAAGAACCAGGTTTGATTTTATTTGTCACAGTGACTTTTATTTAAATAATAATAATAATAAAATCTACAATTTCCTTAGATTAACTCAGCTAAGGATACAGCAAGGAGTTAATACCTTCCTTGGGTTTCCTGATGGTTCTCCTAACCATACCATCTCAATGAGATCACTTTCTCACATTGTGTGAATATTGCTACCTGTGGCCTAAGACAACATAACTGAGTTGAAAGTTAAAGTCAAACCACCTTGAAAAATTAAACCTAAGGACACTCACCATTTTTCAGGCTGTCATATCCCATTGAATGACGGATTTCTTTCAGGGTAGAACCTTGGGCCCCAAGTTCCATCATTCCCATAGCAAAGGTAACACTCAATGGAGAGAAAAGAATATTTTCATCTTCCCCAATGGCTCGAAGATGGTTATACATATTCACTGACAACTCAGCAATGGTCTCATCAGGGAAAGTGGCCCCTAAAGCCAGACTTTGCAGAACCAGCAAAGAGAAGAGTACAAGGAAAGCCATGTTGGGAGAGCTCAAGCCTGAAAAACAATAATTTCCATATTAATTATTAATTATCTCTGACAATGGAGTGAAAGGCAAAAAATAAAATAAAAATAAGAATTATTTCTTGCAAAGTTGTAAAGCAAACCAAATTTCTAAACATTTACATTGTTAATATCTCCTAACAAAAGCCCCTTTAAAGGATATGTTGGGAGATACTATTTTTAAAAAGGCAATTAATAGTCAAATGAACAAATAACATTGCTAAATTCTGAGGATATTTCCAGGAACAGGTAGCCCTGGTCCCCACCTTCATGGGGTTAAGAGTATGTATAGCTACATATATAATGGAAAATTTAGACCATGTTTGGTGAGGCGAATGTATCAATTTTTCATATCTTCACCATATATATTTTGGTCATGATTTTAAAACAATTTACTCTAGCTTACACTAAACTACAAAGGTCCAGGAAAACTATAATGGAAACCAAAAGATATTTACAGGGTTTAAGATGAACTAGTGAAGTCAGGCATTTGAAAATGTCGCTCTACTCATTCACTACAATTTATAAAATTAATGCACCATGCAACTGGGTTGCCAACTGGCAGGAAAAGATCAGACACACACCTGCCACCGGCCCTAGTTTGTTCAGCCCAGGCTGCAGAACCCACAGGAAGTGGTAACCTAGGGAAACACATTCAGCACATCCTTGTGCTCTTTTCTCGTCCACTGTGGTTACCTATGAGGCTGTTACTCCTAATGGTGATCTCGGGGCAGGGAGGGGCCTTCTACCACACTGTCCTTTTATACTTAGGCTGATATTACCATTTCAGCTTATACCAGAACACGTTGCTTCTATTTCAATGAATATTTCTAAATACGAGGTTTATCTGGTTCTTGAGCCATTTTCTCTGTGGAAAAGAAAGTGTCAGTGCCAGACATCTCTGGTTGATAGTTCTTCCTCCTGGCACACCAGTGTTCCCGAAGCCCTGTCCACCCACAAACGGCACACACTGACCAGCACACAGCTGGGACAGAATTTCCTTTTTCCTTGTATTCTCCCTCTTTGTCACTGCAGGCATCTAAAAGCTGAACTGCCTAGTCAAACAATTAAGCAGCTTACTTGTTCATGACCTTCAAGGGAAAAAAAAACTATCATGAAAACAACACGTAAAGTGATACTGAGTGAACACATTTGGAAAATTGTATTTCAACGAGCATGGAACATTAACAATCCCCTTTCCTCAGTTAACAGAAGGCATACACATTTTACTTAAGAGCAAGGTGTTTCTGACAGGGGTTTGAGTCAGAATGTCCTCCTCCCTCCTATCACGTTTTTCATTCCAACTTCTGGAGAGCTGCCTATTAGTTTGTAAGTCCTTCACATTTTAGGGTTCAGTTTTAGGGATCAGTTTTGTTTTGTTTTGTTTTGTCTGAGAAACTCCAAGCACTGCTGTCATCCCTCTGCTTTTGTATTAAGGTTTAGATCAGTCTCCTTTGTTTAGGAAGGCAAGGCTCAGCCTGCATGTAAATACGGACTCTCACAACCCCTGCTGTGGGAGACCCCGCTGGGGGAGATGGGATGGCTGCCTGTGGGAGATCAAGTGCACTGCTGCAGAGCAGTGTCTGTGGTGGGACTGAAGCCCAGGGCAGAGAACACAGCTGCCCTGCCAGCCGGCAGACTGAGGCCATCAATGCGAGGCTGCCCCCAAATTTCCACCCCCCCAGCCCCCCTGCTTCTGTACTCCAGAGGACTCCAGGAAAAGGTGGAAGCAGAATAGGGGAACTTTCTCAATGTCTAGATTCAGATGGAAATTTAGCAGGTACCCTTCTAATTTGAAAGAGACCCTAAGATATATCCGGTATTTAATACTTAGGTTACTAGAACTCAGAAATCCAAGTCAGATTCAAAGCCATGCTCTTAATCATGACACTAGACTGTTATCTGACATACCCTACAAAGACCCAAAGCTGGGCCTCATTACTTTCGTTTAATGTTATCTAGTAGTTAATGAAGTTAAAGTCACTATATGGTGGTGGTATCTGTCCCTCAGTAACATGGCTATTTGGAAACCATTGCTTTCAACATGAGTATCAAATTTTAGGTGAACAAAAAGATTTCATTCATATAAAACAAAAACCAACCTATTGCCAACCAACAAGCATTCTAGAAGAACAAGGTCAAGTCTATCATACTCATCAGCATTTTTATTTACAAATGAATGTGCCATGAGATAAATAAGCTAACACATGATGTATGACCTTTGGCAAATCACATGCCTTCTCTCAGTCTTAGCTTCCTCATTCATGAGATGAAGATGCCAATTTCTACGCCACACAATTTTTTAAAAAGATTTTATTTATTTGAGAGAGTGAGAGAGCACAAATAGGGGAGCATCAGAGGGAGAGGGAGACACAAGCTCCCCACTGAGCAGGGAGCCCAACTCCACACCATTATTGAAGATGTAAATGAAATAGTGCCTGTTTGAAGCACTCATTTTAAGCTACAAACGTACTAATAAAAAACATTGTCATTAGAGAGTATGTTTCCTAGGTTTGTATATTTGCTGTCAAGGAAGAGGCTCTAGAGCCAAAATGAGTATTTTATTCTTCCTGTTGGCTCATCTAATGTAGCACTATTAAATGCCATTCATTCAACCAAGATTGAAAGAGGTACCATGAAGATACTCAAATGTATAAGCACGGGATCTTGTCCTCAAGAAACTCACAGCATTGTACAAGAACATGTAATCTATTATAGTGGTTCTTCTCTTTTTTAAGAAAAGAGATTCTTTTAAGAAATCAGGAGAAGGGTAAACAATCTCTTCAGAAAATGCATGCATATGGCTAACAGAACATTACTTTCACTGGCCAGGATATTTACTGGCCTCAGGTTAAGAACCCCCTGGTCTGTAGCAGATGGTCCAGATGCAGAAAGAAGCAGTGTTTGGTGGACCTGCAGCTTACTGGGGGAAAGCAATGTCAAAACTATTAATGTATCTTCAGGCTTCTGGCAGAATCCTGGAAAAAACATCCGTATGTCTGTGAGAAAGGGCTCTTCCCAGGGTAGTGGGCAGCAGGCCACGATTTACATGCTCTGCTGGGGAATTAGAAGCATTATGGCAAGGAATGGTGGAAGCAAGTTATATCAGGAAACTCTTTAGTCAAGATTTAAAGAACTCTGTTCTGGAAGCACACATTTTATCTATACTTAAGTGATCTTTCCTTCTTTTAAAGGCAAAATGTCCAGTGTACAAGAAAAAAAAAATGGCTTCTGCCAGACTGGCCCAGCCTTTCTGATGCTACCTATCCCACCCCTAGCCCCTGGCTCTTTCACCTCCGCTGCCTCCGATTACTCCTTCTGAGGATTTTTTCTGGGGAGAAGGGAAGCTTCCCCCTTCTTCTACCTTCTAAGTGGGGAGTGTTCTCCAGGGTTCTATTCCTGGCCCTCTTCTCTTCTGTGTACTGTTCTTCTCGTGCCTGCTGGTGAACTTCCCTCAAAACAAAGATACTTCAACTATTATCCCTGTTCATATTATTCCCCAGTAAGTAAAATTCTAGCTCTGGCTTTCTTTTTATCTTAATTCCTGATGTGCATTGCAAATTGTTTTGGGAGTGTCTTAGTCTTTGATTCTTGTCAGCACTTCAAATTCAAGGTGACTCAAACTGGGCTCCTTGTTTATCAATCAGGCCCATTCTTTTTTTTTTTTTTTTCCTTTTTTTCTTAAAACATCAGAGTCCTTTGACTCCTCTCCATGTCCCTTTCCCTATGTTCGATGAGCTGTCAACACTTATTCCATACTGTGCTCTGGACACTTCTACCCATTATCCGATGACCATTTCCATAGACGTTGTGGCAGTTCTTCTTAATGCATTCTCAAGGGCTCCACCAATGACTTCCATCCATTCTCTGAAGCCCAGGGTACTGCCCTCCTCAATCCAATGGATGCATAGTCTCCGGATGAATTGTTTTGAATTACTGTTATGAACAGGTATTCCTATATTTACAAAACCTCAAAATCTTACTCATGCCTGTAGAGTAAAGCCCCAAATCTTTAGTCTCACTTTACTGTGATCCAACATGTTTCTACCCACTACTCCCCTTCAGGGATCCTCCAATTCAAGCCAGACTCCTTTTTGCAGTACATATCCCAGAATTTCTGTCTCATGGTGCTGGCTTGTGTAGTTCTCTTTCTGGAACTACTTCAACCTGGTTCCATATGTTCAAATCCTAACCACTCCTCAAGGTTCTGCTCCACTTCCATTTCCTTCATGAATACCCTCCTGGTTCTTCAGTTACAACAGCAATTTCCCCCTCCTCTGAAATGTTGGCACATTTTATCTCTACCTCTCCAACAGCACATATCACTGCTTCCCTCTATTACAGATAATTCTGTACACGAGTCGGCTGGTTTCCTCAGCTTTTTGAAGACACAGATAGAAGTGCATTCCTCTTTGTCTATCTTAAAATAATCAGAATAAGCACTTAATACATTACATATCGTAGGTACCCGATATTTGTTGAATGAATGTAGCTCGAGATGTACAGGCTCACGAATGCTGCACTGGAAGGAATAGCAAGAGTAGCTGCTTCTCCTCAATTCTCGAAGCTAATTTAATCTTAGTCCACAGGTAGTGGCTCATTTCCATTTCTTTTTTTTTTTTTTTTTAAAGATTTTATTTATTTATTTATTTGAGAGAGAGAATGAGACAGAGAGAGCATGAGAGGGTCAGAGGGAGAAGCAGACTCCCCGCCGAGCAGGGAGCCCGATGCGAGACTCGATCCCGGGACTCCAGGATCATGACCTGAGCTGAAGGCAGTCGCTTAACCGACTGAGCCACCCAGGCGCCCCATCATTTCCATTTCTTATTCCCTTTGATGAAGTGTTTCCTTATTGAGTCTGAGACCATCTTTCCAGTCTGACAAAGTGGTACTGTTGCCAATGCTGGCCTACTGCAACGCCTGGACATGGGATGCATTAACAAACAAGTGCACCACCTTCACAAAAGGGGCTACCCAAATGTTACTGTATTAAC